CAAAAATGTAACGTATGGCCTAGAGTTTTAGAGCTTATTTGCCCTGGGTTCAAACCCTTCCCGTTCCGTGGGTTGTTTATTAATGTAGCATAGGCTTTTAGAGCTTCATGAGTGCTAGTTTAGTAGATTAGCATTGGCCATCTCGAACCTGGTGCTTCAAAAAGTTTCGTTGTAATATCCGAGAAAACTAATCTTGTAAGCGGTTAGGACATAAAACCTTTGGATATACGTAATTACAGGATACTTTTACTAAGTAACCTTAAAGCTTGCAGAATTATCATTATAAATAACGTATGTCTGTGTAACAGTAGAGCTTGTAGAATTATCATGATAGCACTATGTAGAGCTTGTAGAATTATCATGATAGCTTAGCACTATGTAGAGCTTGTGGAATTATCATGATAGCTTAGCACTATGTAGAGCTTGTAGAATTATGATAGCTTAGCACTATGTAGAGCTTGTAGAATTATGATAGCTTAGCACTATGTAGAGCTTGTAGAATTATCATGATAGCTTAGCATTATGTAGAGCTTGTAGAATTATCATGATAGCTTAGCACTATGTAGAGCTTGTGGAATTATCATGATAGCACTATGTAGAGCTTGTAGAATTATCATGATAGCTTAGCATTATGTAGAGCTTGTAGAATTATCATGATAGCTTAGCACTATGTAGAGCTTGTAGAATTATCATGATAGCACTATGTAGAACTTGTAGAATTATCATGATAGCTTAGCACTGTGTAGAGCTTTTAGAATTATGATAACACTATGTAGAGCTTGTAGAATTATGATAGCACTGTGTAGAGCTTGTAGAATTATCATGATAGCACTATGTAGAACTTGTAGAATTATCACGATAACTTAGTACTATGTAGAAGTGGCACATAGCGTATTAGTTGGTAATCTGGAACTTGGTGAAATATTACTTGATAGCGTATTATTTTTTTAAATATTACTAGGTAAACTAGAAATTGCTAAATTATATAGCAGCTTATTACTAGGTTACCTAGAAGTTGCAGAACTGCCACAGGTTATATTAGGTAACCTGAGAACCTGCAGTATTCTAACTTTTCACTTTATGCTTTGTGTAAATCACTTGAACTTAACTTCACTAACATATTTGAAATATTTATAACTAAAAAAAAATATGAATAGACGTTGGGATAACACTAGAAAGTGCCGAAGGGCTGGAAAAAACAGAATGAGGACCAGGAAAGAGTTGTGTGAGGTGGTTACACTTTGTGTATTAACCACACAAATTGTGGGGTTGAATTTCCTCCCTATTATGTACTGTAATTTATATTAAGTACTTGTTTTTTTTAGTAAGGTTATGTAATTATCTAGCTGTATTTACCTGTGTGTAGCTACTAGAGTTGAGCTAAGCTAATGGTGTCCTGCCGTTAGTATTTAAAATTTTATATTTTGTTTTAATTTCCATTGGTCGTGGTACTATCACCTCTTATAGCACACATCATTGTTCTCTCACTGTAAATAACTTTCCAGTATCGTTTTGGTACCTCTTCTTTCCTAGTTAACATATTGTTTTTGCTCGTGTGCTGATGGTGCTAAAGAATTTTCTTTTCATTCTTTCATATCGTTTATCTACACGTAGTTACCGTGTCTTCTCTTTCTCTTATCAGCCACTGAGGGGCATATTTTAAGCTTTCAGCACCACTCCGATGTTCAGAAATATTTTTAACTCTGGGAACCATTTTATAGCTCGTCTTTGGCATTGTTATAATTCGTTTTTTTTTTTTTTTTTATGTGTGGACACTAAGTTTGATGAGACGTATAAACTGTTATCTTTTTTTAGTGTTTCCCCATCCATATGTTTAAAAGCTGCTCTTAAATACTGTAAGCTAGTGTAGCATATGATTCTTAATTAAGATTTCATTAATATATTCTTCCCATGACTTTTTTCAACGTTTCCTAGTCATTCATTTTTTCTAGTGCATTTAATATTTTTTCACATTCTGTATTATTCCGATGGGCTGTGTGTGTATGTTTTATTAAAATATATTATAATTTTAAACTATCTTCCAGGCATATTTTGTGGTGTATTAGGTAATGCGGGTCTGAGGGTACACTAGGCTGAGTAATATTGAGCTGAGATCGTCATTTATGTACACACTAATGTGCTTTCAGGGCGTGCTGTATTTTATTAATATTTATTTAAATGTTGAATTAGTAATGATAATAGTTTTACCTAATACTTATGGTTAAATTAACATTGTAATAAAAATGTAATAGTCATAAAATGTAAAGTAAATATATTAATATATGTTAATATTTTTAGTATTGCTAGCAATAATGAGATTTGTCATTAATAATCGTAATGACATTTGAAAATAGTGTTTATAAAGCCTATTAGTAAAGATAAAGGTAATATACTTAAAGACAGTAAAATAGCAACAGTAATAAAAGATAAGTAAATATTATTATTATTATTATTTCCATGCTAGTTTTATGAGTTAATATTGGAGTAACTGAACTTCTTGAACGCTGTTGCTTTTAATTTCTTAAATTAGTTACAAGCTTGATATTAATTATAAAAATTCCTGTGAATTATGAACCAGTGATTTTTGGGATTTACTGTTGTCGTTCGAGTAAAATAACATGTACGAAGGGATTCAGGGTAACTTGTTTTGGAGGTGGGAAGTACAGCAGCGCCTGTGTAGTTAACAGTCGGGTGGAGATTTGAGCGTGTGTGATGTATGCTAAGAACTTATTATAAAGAAATAAACCTCTGGGTGATTCTCAGTAAAATGTTTATGCCTTAGTGCGGTAAATGTAGCAGTGAGAAATTCTTTTGTATCTAAATAGAAATAAGTTCAAATGCATAAAGAGATAGAGCCCAAAATTAAAAAAAAAATATGTAAAAAGATATTCAAAATGACTTCGTTGGAAGACAGGAGGGAGATGTTATGAGACTACATGTAGTGTTAGCATACACAAGTATGATTGAATTTTAAAGACGACTACATGTAATTATACACAGGTATGTGTGAATATTAACAAAAAAGGAATTAACTGCGCTAGAAATTGGGGTAGTAAGAAGTTAGTTTACTCTATAATAAATAATATAGAAGTGATAGTTATAAATATTTTTTTTCACTAATACGGAGGTAGATGGCTGATATTAACCGCATACATAGTGTATGCTAAACCTATTGGCAATATAGAAAAATGACGATACATATATAATAGGTCAGACATCAAAAAAGTGTGTGCTAAAAAACATAGGTAACAAAAAGCAGTTGACAACCCGGGCGCTCTCGTATAATTACACTTTTCAATGGAGACTAAGTATACAGTGTTAATATTTCTTAGGAAAGTGAGGTGTTCAAATATATTATTTACGAGGTAAAGTAAGATCAGCACAGCCAAGGTCAGTACACATAAGGCGTTTCATAGTCTTAAAAGGAGAGCTTACAGTAAGAAGGATTAACTAGGCAGTAGCAGGTCAACTGTAGTGTTCATACACGTCAAAACATTTACATATTAGGTGTGTATATATATATATATATATATATATATATATATATATATATATATATATATATATGTCGTGCCGAATATGTAAAACTGGTTAATTAGCAAGAACTCATTTAAAATTAAGTCCTTTCTAAAATTTTCTCTTATACGTTTAAAGATATATATTTTTCATTAATGTTAATGCAAAAAAATTTAATTTTGCACCAACAGAATCTTAGAAAACTTACCTAACCTTATTATAACAAGAGCAATTTATTTTAGCCTAACCCAACTAAATATATTTTAGATTTGTTTACATCAATTTAATACTAAACAAACACAGTGAAATATATTTTTTTCGTTAGGTTCAGAATGATTTTGGCGAAATTATTGCATGCACAAATTTTCACTTGTCCTATATGGCAAGATGAACGTTGCTATTTAAGCCAAGATCGCAAATTCTGCCTATTCGGCACGACATTATATATATATATATATATATATATATATATATATATATATATATATATATATATATATATATATATATAATATATATATATAATATATATATATATATATATATATATATATATATATATATATATATATATATATATATATATATATATATATATATATGGTTAGGAAGAATTTGGGTGGGGAAGGCATAATAAAGAAAATTTTGTGTATCTGATAAGGGAGATAGATGGAGTATTTTGTTTCTTCTCCAGCCAGAGATTTAATCCCGGGACCTCACTGATGAGAGCCGCGATTCTAACCACTATGCTATGGCAGATGATAGATGAAGTAGTAACAAGAGCAGCAAGTGGCTGCTCCCTGGCCCCATAGTCATCACGAATAAAAGCAGCCGGCACATTATTAATAAGCGTCACTTTATCTTGGAGATGTGTAACGCTGTAATATGTATTGGTATACCTGTACAGTATGTGTAGTGAGAGATGATGTATATCACGTCATCCCTGTCATATTAGTACCTTCTTATTCTGGGGAGTAAATGTTTCATTGACCTAAACGGGCTTAGCGCTGTAAATAAAAAACAAAAATAATTAAATTAACATATTTTTTTCCGATATTTGCACAGATTTCTGCGTACATGTATATTTGAAGGACTTGTATTTTCAGTTTGTCTACGCATATATTGCATTTATAATTATCCAGTATTTTAACTCTGCTCATTACTGTTTGGTAAAAGTGCTGTGAATGTGTGTAACTCTTCAGGATTATTAACGTGAATAGTGCTAGAGAATTATTTTATGTTGGATTATGGAGTGGTATTGTATATTACAATAATAGTATGTAGTACTTTAATAATAGTATAATACTAGAATACCAGTGGTGCACAATATTAGTATGTAGTACTATGATAGTAATTAGTGTGTGGTACTTTAGTATTAGCTAGTATATAGTACTAGAATATCAGTTGTGATATCATATACCTTCAAGGCAATTCAGTATTCTTGAACAATTTATATTTTTGGTTAAATAAAAAATCTGTTTTGCTTCTCTCTTAGCTTGTATTTGACAAAAAGTGTTACAATATTATACAAGTCAATAAATAAGGGAATGAGTGACTTTTGTGGAGGCGAGTGAGAGGCGATTGATTGTTAGGTACACCACTCGGAGGTCCTCGGCCGGGCAAACACTAAGACTTTTTTTTAGTTGTTGTTCAGTGATGCCAAAGCCGTCAATTACTACTAGGATTATATTGTAACAAAACATTTTTTAGATATTTTTCTTATATGCGTCACTATATAAAACACCTCAATGATTGACTAAACACATGTATAGCTACACACTCAGATTATGAAGATGGGATAAGAGGGTAGGCATGAGGGAGTTCTAGGCCTCCGGGGGAATGTCTCTAGGAGAGCCAGGCCTATGGAAAAATCTCTCTGGGAGAGGAAATCCTCGGAGTATGTGTTTGGGGGAAGGGAGGCTCCTAAGAAGAGCCAGTCTAGTGAAGCCCTACTTACACTTGGTGTAGCGGCACTTTAATGACTGTTTGTAGAGACGTGTCCATTCTTGTACGCCGGTAGGGTGGTTCTTGGGGGTCCCAGACCCCTTTAAATGCTCATGTCTTCCCCACTCTCCCTAGCATCAGTTAACTATTGAGCCTCTTGTTATCTACTGCACTTGGGTTATCACTACTGCGCTCGCGCCAACACAAAATCACACTTATGAGGTGTCATGTCTAGCAGGAGAAAGTCTCACGATGACCAGAAAACTATTTACATATTACTACACAAACTTATCACAGCTGTAATAAACCGAGCACCGCGGTGGAGCACAGCGCATATAAATAATATATATGTATAATCAGAAGTTATTTTGGCGAACTAGAAGCCACTGGTACAGAGGTATCGTCACACGGGGTGCACAACGAGCGCTACGGTTTGGCACACGCTATATATACAATATTTACACTGGAGCACGTACGCCTGGGGGTGGTTAGTCACTGTGTGAGTGAACCACAGATTAGCTAGCGGCCTCACAGTTTCTCCAAGCTTTTGGAGTTGGTGAGGAGCTCCCTGGTGAGTCTCCAGGCCTGCTTGGCGGCGGATTCTAACGCGGGGGGCGAGGCCCCCCGCAGAAGGTTGATATTAGGTAGGAAGTAGTGTGGGCATCGGCGACACTGAAGGCAGGTGATGAGCTGCAGCAGAATACCTACAAGACGGTCCCCCAGCGCCCCTTCATCCCACTCAGCCTCCCGAGGGTGTTTCTCACACTCGTACAGCATGAGCGTCTTGACAGCATAAGCTGGCACCGGGTCCCCAGGCAGGTCCAGGTGGCGGTCCCGCAGCGTCTTGAGGATGGCCAGGCACCGCTTGCGGGAGGCTCCATACAGTAATCTGTTCTCTGCGTCGTTGAAGGATAACACCCAGGCGTCACCCTCCAGACCGCCGCCGTTCTTGCCAGCGACGCTGCTGCTCTCCTTGCTCAAGAGGTCAAAGCCCTCGGTCTTGACCTCTGCCACGAGGCTGGGTGGCGGCCATGGGACGTGTGGGGAAGGCCAGTGGGCGGCCGAGCGAGGCCACACACCCGAACACTTAAATGCGGGCGTTATCTGTACCACGTAGCGGTCCCGCACCCGCAGCCGCACCTCGCTCGTATCCCCCACCATCCTGACGGAGTCACGGTATGTGCACTTATCTATGGACTGGGCCACTAGTGTGTGAAGTCTGGACCTCATCTTTCTTGCAGAAAGGTAACCGGAGGCCGTGATGAATTCCACCCACAGGGACATGGAACGTTTGCGGCCGTCACTGAGCTTAAGTACAGCGCTGCCAGGGATACTGCCGTCGTCGACAAAGTTAAACTCGCCCATCTGATTGAGGTACAGTATTGCCTCAAACTCGGTGGGCGAGACAACATTAAGTCCCTCGAAGCGGCCGTTGACCTCTGCCAGTGAGGAGATGACCCGCGGCTCCTGGACCTCTACTTCCTTCAAAACATCTTGCACGACCTTCACGACTTCCCGCAGTGTCTTAGCTACTGCTGCTCTGCGGGCAGCCACTCTCTCAGTCGAGTATTTGTTTACTTGGTACAGCATGCGTGACTGGGCACCCTGCATGTCCGCCGGTACTAGCATCCCCACACTGCGACCTCACCTCCTGGGAGATCTGCAAGACGAGTACGAACTCAGTGAAGATGGTGTGGAATGGGAAAGGAGTTGGTACCAGGGCCAAGGGTAGGTAGCGGGGGGCACGTGACGGTGGCACCTGCCTGCCACTCGATGCAACGGGACTTCTCGCAACCTCGCGCTGCTAATTACTGATGCGTGAGTTGCGCCTGCAGGAGATGCAATGTGGGCGGAGCCTTGGGGCGGCGCACCTCCCACTGCCCCGCCCTGGTGTCACGGCGCTGCGTTACCACTAGGACACCGACAGGACATCCATCTTACCGCCCGTCACGACCCACGACCTGCCCTGCCACATGCCGATCGATGGCCCTATGACTGTTGTCACGCGGTGGCTGCTTCAGGTACTAAGTTACTCAGGGGTGACTGATTGACTTGACTGTCCACCAACAGCGACCGCTCTGCAGGCATATTTTATTTTATTTTAGCATTAAATGCATTAGCATTGTTGCAGATATTCTGTTCTGGTGAGGAGGTCACGGGTGAGACGCCAGGTCTGGGAGGCTCCTTGGGTGAGAGACTGGCGGGGAGACCCACGGAAGAGATCCACCTGCGGCAGGAAGTAGTGAGGACACCTGCGGCACAGTAAACAGGAGATGAGCTGAAGGAGGATACCGTTAATACGGTCCCCTAGGCTAATGGTGTCCCACTCCCATTCGTGCGGGTGTTTTTCGCACTCATAGAGCACCAACGTCTTGAGCACGTACGAGCTCACGGGGTTACCTGGCAGATCAAGGTGCCTGTCTCTGAGTGTCTTTAGAATGGAAAGACACTTTTTGCGGCAGCCTTGAGTGAGGAGTCTATCCTCAGCCTCCATGAACACCATGACCCACGTGTCTCCTTCTGCTGTGATGGCTGCATCTTGCTTTTCCTTGTCCTTGTCTCTCGCTAGGTGAGAACAGTCACGTGACACTAGGGTGAACCCAGACATCTTCACCTCGGCCGCCAGCTCGACCCCGGGCCAGGGCAAGGAGAGTTCGGGCCAGTGGGCCGCCGATCTGGGCCAGATGCCGTAGCACTTGAAAGCCAGAGTGAGGTCTAGAGTGTAAGTGTCTCTGATCCTGACGCGGACCTCTGAGGTTCCACCCACCATCCTCAGTTGGTCACGGTACTGTGACTTCTCCACTGCCTGCGCCACCAGCGTCTGGAACCTGGCCCGCATCTTACGTGATGACAGGTAGCCCGACGCTGTGATGAACTCCACCCACAGCGACATTGAACGTTTGCGGCCGTCACTAAGCTTGAGGACAGCACTGCCGGGCACGGTGCCGTCGTCAACTAGGTTGAACTCCCCCATCTGGTTAAGGTAGATGGTGACCTGGTACTCGTTGGGGGAGAGGATGTGGAGGCCCTCCCAGCGGCCGCCAGCCTGGGTGAGAGTAGAGAGGCAGCGGGGTTCCTGCGCCTCCACATGTTTCATGAGGTCATGGGCTACCTGAACCACTTCTTCCACTCTCTTGTTGACGATCATACGCCTCTTGGACACCTGCTCGGCGTAGAACTGCTCGAGGGCGGCCACCAGCTTGCCTGAGCCGCTGGAGACGCCGTCACTGGGCACCAACATGGTGACTGGTACTCTGTCTCCGCCGCACACACACACAATATTCTCCTGGCGAGGGCCAGGCAGGGCAGCCCTATGTAACTTATTCCACCACGGCTCGCGAGGCGCTGCTTACAACTCCCTCGCACACAGTTACGATCGAAAACTTGATTTGGGGCTTAAATCTCCGTGAGTAATTACTATATAATATCCATTTAGTTCACTGATAAGTTGGCTCCTCTAAACTACGACTTGGTCTGTTCCCTATCCTCGGGATCTACTGGCTATGAGTGACGTCAAGGAGAAGACTTCTCGCCATTGGCCAGGGCTGAGTGGGTGGAGCGATCGATAATCCAGAGCGAGAGGATGCGCTGCCATTGGCTGGTGGGCGGGGCGTGACTCGTGCCGAGTTGTGGTTGGCTGTTGGCGTCAACCAGCCGGCGAATGCCAAGAGTGATTAGTTGTGAATCGTTGACGAGTTGACACAAGTTGCGCTTGGCCACGCCTCCTCCCGGGAGTGCCCGCTGTGGCCCGCACTCCACACGTAAATTAATAGACTATCGGCTCAAACAAAGAGTGGCAGTACCTACCTGCGAATTAAATACCAGGTTTTGCGGGGAGAGGTGAACCTGGCCGCAGGTGGTATGAAGACATTACCCCCGTCACCACACCGCCCACCTTTCAAGTGTGCTCGCCTGTAAAACACACTCAATTACTCTCTAGGAATTCTCCTTAAGTGAAGTGCTGAGTGAATCCCAAGGTAAAGAGAAAAAAAAATTCAGACTGGACTATCACATGAATAAAATTCTGCATGTGGCTATTTAGTATATTTCCTTAATTCACATGTTCATCACCTCAAACTCTTTGATTTTGTGTAGTGAATGTAGTTGTTGAATTTTGGTATCGTGTCCAAAATATCACGTTTTATGATTATCGCTTAAATATTGCAAGGGGAAACACTTTCCAAATAAATTATTAATTAGAAAAAATGGCGTATTGTCAGTAAATGGGTTGACGAGTAAAACTAAATTCGACAATGATTTTTATAGCATGAATGAAGTCAGTCTGAAACCTTCATGAAATGTTTGAATGACTGAATTTGTTCTGTAACCCGACAAAATGATCACGACACATGTAAAAGCCAAGATACCCTAACTAAAACATGAAGAACTTTTTAAGACACTGGGTTGTTTGTGTTCGCTGGAAATTGCTTCTAGACTCAATGTTATTTAACCTCAGCTCAAACATTTACAGTTGCTGGACGAAACTACTTGTGTTACCACTTGGATCCTAAGACACTAAATCAACTAAGGGGTGGCCCATGGACAGCGTGTCACTAAGAGGCCGCTACAGTTGCCAAGATTCTTACAGTGCTCTGCTCGCCCAGGGGTCCGCCCACCTGAAAGCTACTACAACGGTCTCTAGTTGCTGCGATGACCTAAAGAGTCTGAAGTATTCGTCTATCTGTATTAAAGGCAAGGTTATGTTTCTAGCTTACACCATGTCTGAAATTTTTGTTTAAAGTTAAAATGTTAAATTTCATGGCGACTTGAAGGTTAGTCGGACAGTTCTTGCAGAGAGCGGCTGTAATTCTATAGCAGGACTTGCCTGTTATTGTGTGCAACATTGATTTCTTTAGCCTTGAGATACGAGACGCGATTTAACGTAGTTGATAACATTCCTAAGCAGTGTTTGGCTATAAATTCGCAAAAAAAAAAAATTAAAAAGCTTGAAAATTAGAAACGACAGATATTTACATGAAGATCGTCGTCGTTCGGGCACAAAGAATCGAAAGTTACTTAAGTGGATAGAAGATCCACTTGTGGTGAAGCAATTATCGATCAGAGACAATGAAAAGAAAAGAGGTTTTAAAGTTTTAATGTTAATATCACAGCGGCGCGGAGGCTACAGCCAGATTTTTGTATGATGCCGTACAAGATTGAGATACAGAATGTTAGGTTGTGTAGGCCTAGTTGACGGCGTGGAGGCCTAGTTGACGCCGTAGAGGTCTAGTTGACTCGCGCTTCATTTAAAATCTCGATGTGTGTGTTCAGCTTGTTATGATGCAAAATTGGGCAATGATTGGGTCTGTCTGGCTCATTAAAAAAATGAAGAATTGTAAGTTGAGGTTGGTGGTCAAGAACAGAGTGAGGTAATGAGTGTTCATCTTGTGCCAGTAGTTTGGAGAGAGAGAGAGAGAGAGAGAGTATAAGATACCGATACCATGGTATGATAAAAACAGTAGAATGCGATTCTTTGTTGACAACGTTTCGCTCGTTTACGGGGATTTGATAAAGCCCATTGTGTGAGCAAAAAAGTCGTCAATAAAGGATCGCACTGTATTGCACTTGTGCCAAGTAGTTTGTTTATGATGCTGGCTGCCAGTGTTTTCAGCGCTATAACTAAAAACATTTATTTCATTACGAAATTTGCATGGTAAATATGTGTTGATGTGGTGGTCCAGCTTGTGCTTCGAGATGTTCATGGAGGAGTGTGTTCCAGTGTTATGAACAGTTAGGCTGTTACATAACATTTTAGTGGAGCGGAATGCTGTATATTGATACAAATTTTAGTAGGTATTTTTTTTATTTTACAGCAGTAGTTTTTTGATTTGTAATCCAATTGTTATTTTGCTGTTTGTAGTTGAAGGAGCAATTATAATCATCGTATCTTTGGAGTTTAATTTATTATATATACATTATATTTTCGAGTGGGTTTCATGGTCGTTTTAAGTAGTTGTGGAGGGAGAATATTTATGTATTTATACCTATATAATCGTATCTGTCCGAAAATTGTCTAGAAATTTTGGTACATATTTAAGACAGGATGGCAAGGAAATTGTCTCCGTGTTCAAGCATCGTACTCTGAACCCGTCAGGATGCAGTGTACTTACACTTAGGGTCAGGATGCAGTGTACTTACACTTAGGGTCAGGATGCAGTGTACTTACACTTAGGGTCAGGATGCAGTGTACTTACACTTAGGGTCAGGATGCAGTGTACTTACACTTAGGGTCAGGATGCAGTGTACTTACACTTAGGGTCAGGATGCAGTGTACTTACACTTAGGTTCAGGATGCAGTGTACTTACACTTAGGGTCAGGATGCAGTGTACTTACACTTAGGGTCAGGATGCAGTGTACTTACACTTAGGTTCAGGATGCAGTGTACTTACACTTAGGGTCAGGATGCAGTGTACTTACACTTAGGGTCAGGATGCAGTGTACTTACACTTAGGGTCAGGATGCAGTGTACTTACACTTAGGGTCAGGATGCAGTGTACTTACACTTAGGGTCAGGATGCAGTGTACTTACACTTAGGTTCAGGATGCAGTGTACTTGCACTTAGGGTCAGGATGCAGTGTACTTACACTTAGGTTCAGGATGCAGTGTACTTACACTTAGGTTCAGGATGCAGTGTACTTACACTTAGGTTCAGGATGCAGTGTACTTACACTTAGGGTCAGGATGCAGTGTACTTACACTTAGGTTCAGGATGCAGTGTACTTACACTTAGGGTCAGGATGCAGTGTACTTACACTTAGGTTCAGGATGCAGTGTACTTACACTTAGGGTCAGGATGCAGTGTACTTACACTTAGGTTCAGGATGCAGTGTACTTACACTTAGGTTCAGGATGCAGTGTACTTACACTTAGGGTCAGGATGCAGTGTACTTACACTTAGGGTCAGGATGCAGTGTACTTACACTTAGGTTCAGGATGCAGTGTACTTACACTTAGGTTCAGAGAAATAAATCTGTATATGTAGTACATCACCAGCTTGCCAGTAGTGCCATGATGTTTACAATGAAATATACAGTAGTAGTTATAGCAGAGTAGTCTACGAGGAACAGTTCAACAAAGCAGTATGGATGCTGTGGATAAGTATATTTGTTATTAGTTGTAAGTGTACGAAATAAAGTAGCGTTACACTACACAAGTCTGATCAGTTGTCTTTGGTAAACAGTGTCTCGGTGATGAACCATTGGATTTGAAGACTGCACAAGACAAACGTTTAATGGGACAGCATTTCGATCGGAGTAGAACCTGATGAAGCGATAGCGATATAGCAAAACGTTCTCCAATAAAAGTTTATCCTGCGTATGTGGCCTTCATGAAAGAAATAACGCAAGCCTGAAAAACTTCCATCCCCCCCACATGCGCTGTGTAATCCTACGAGTTTAGCGCTCCCCCATGCTTATAATAATAGACAACACCGCCACCATCGCCCTCGAACACCGCCACCGTCTCCCTCGAACAACTCCACCGAACACCACCACCCTCTCCACCGAACACTATCACCCTCTCCCTCGTACACCACCACCCTCCCCCCTAAAACCACCACCCTCCCCCCTAAAACCACCACCCTCCCCCCTAAAACCACCTTTGTCTCTACCGAACACCGCCGTCCTCTCCACCGAACACCACCACCCTCTCCCACGAACACTACCGCCCTCTCCCATGAACACCACCTCCCTCTCCCACGAACACCGCCGCCCTCTCCACGGAACACCGCTACCGTCTCCTCCACGCACCTCCGCCCTCTTCAAGGAACACCGCCACTCTTCACCGAGCAACCCCGCTCTCTTCACAGAACACCGCCACCCCCTCCAGGGAACACCGCCACTCCACCGCGCACCGCTGCTCTCTTTACGGAACACCGCCGCCCTCTTCACGGAATACCGCCACCCCCCTCCAGGGAACACCGCCACCGTTTCCCTGAACACATCCGCCCTCTCCACGGAACGCATTCACCCATTAGCATTAGCTAAGAACTATAGACCAATAGCTCTGACATCCCACATCATAAAAATCTTTGAAAGAGTGCTAAGAAGCAGGATTGCAAATCACCTGGATTCCCAAAATCTGCACAATCCAGGGCAACATGGGTTCAGGGCAGGTCGCTCCTGCCTCTCACAACTACTGGATCACTATGACATGGCCTTGGATGCACTGGAAGAAAATCAGAATGCAGATGTAATATACACAGACTTTGCAAAAGCATTTGACAAATGCGATCATGGCGTAATAGCCCATAAAATACGTGCTAAAGGAATAACTGGGAAAGTGGGGAGATGGATCTTCAACTTCCTAACAAATCGAACACAAAGAGTAGTGGTCAACAGAGTTAAATCGGAAGCTGCCATAGTGAAGAGCTCTGTTCCATAAGGCACAGTACTCGCCCCCATCTTATTCCTTATCCTCATATCAGACATAAACAGAGATATACACCACAGCACCGTATCATCCTTTGCGGATGATACTAGGATCTGCATGAGGCTGTCATCTGCTGAGGACGCGGTTAACCTCCAAGAAGATATAAACAAAGTTTTCCAGTGGGCAACGGTAAACAATATGATGTTCAATGAGGACAAATTCCAACTACTCCGTTATGGAAAACTGGAGGAGATAATAACTAGAACAGAGTATACTACTGACTCCGGCCATACAATAGAGCGGAAAAATAATGTAAGGGACCTGGGAGTAGTAATGTCTGAGGATCTCACTTTCAAGGATCACAACAGTGCCACGATCGCACGTGCAAAGAAAATGATAGGATGGATAATGAGAACTTTCAAAACGAGAGATGCCAAGCCCATGATGATCCTTTTCAAATCACTTGTTCTCTCTAGGCTGGAATACTGCTGTACATTAACATCTCCATACAAAGCAGGTGAAATCGCAGATCTAGAGAGTGTACAGAGATCCTTTACTGCACGTATAAGTTCTGTCAGGCACCTTAACTACTGGGAACGCTTGGA